CAATTTATTAAGTTATATATAGGATTTCTTTAAAAATATATTGTTCTAATGGAAAGACCTGGGAATAGAAATCAGGTTTCCTACATCCTACCAGTTACTGTGTGGCTCTAGGAAGTGAACTTGAACAATCTGTCCCCATTTTTTCATCTGTAAAATGGAAGTAAAAATGTATATTGTAGGTAAATGGTAGAGCAGTGGAGATCAAATAAGAAAATGTATGTGGTTTCCTTTTGAAAAGTTAAAAAGCTCTACAAATGTCAGGCCCGATCACTTTTGGATACTATCTTGTAAAGCTGGTCCCTGACTATAAGCTTGTCAATATCACATCCTCTCTTTGAGGCTATCTTTCCTCTACACATGGAGCACTTTTCTCCACTCCAACTGAAACATCACATACAAAGAAAAGATAAGCAGTAAGAAAATCCAAATGTGTTGGCAATACGGCTGCATGTTAAAAAGAAAGAACTAGATTCACATTGAACTCAGTTCGCGTGGTGCATAACTCCCCTTTCCATAGGTCCTATTAACTTCAAAGGGAGCTCCATGCATGTAAATGATTATATTTATTGGATGCACCAACTCCTTCTTATCCTCCGGGCGCAATTAGAAATATCAAAAAATGAATGTCAGCGACTTGGATCCATGTTTGATATTCTATGGGAAATTTCCCATAGTTACAGATGTTAAAATTTCTGCCCAATTGTCCAGTTACAAATTTGTAGTATTTCTTCTTTTATCATCCCTGGAATTATTTCTATTTTAGAATATTCTTTTCTTCATTTAAGGAAAAATATTTTCTTCAGGTGCAGACAAGCTAGTAATAATATCTGTGCTTGTTGTACAACTTGGTATAGTAATACAAATTTAGACTGCAGAACCCCTCTCTCGAAAGTAACTGTTAGGGCATCTCTGAGATTATCCCAATACTTTTAGCAATCCCAGTCCCACTTCAAGTTCATTCTAGTATCTGCAGGTTGAGACAGTGCCTAGGAACTAAATTCCTGGGTGCCCACTTTAATGTTACATTCACTAAACCATACTGTAATGTCAGTGTTTGTTCTAAGTTCAAGCCATTATCGATATTCTTGTTGTCTAGCTGTAAACTCAGGGTTTTTTCCAGTTGAAATCACCACAATCAGTGAAGACAGATGGCAGGTGTGTGGAGAACTGTACTTTTTGTACTGATTCGTTGTTCTTTTTAAATTCAGTTGTCTCATGGCTCTTGGTGGAACTCTCTCTAGAACTAATTCTGACAACAATTTAACATCTTCACCCTGTCTTATCAGTGAATTTAAGTGCCTTGCAAATGTTACAAGCATGGCTTCTCAGTGATGCTATGTATATTATACACCCATGAGGGCAGGTCCGTGTTTTAACTATACTTTTTCTTTTTAAGTGACAAAAAAGCAGAAACATGGAAGAAGTCCCTCAGAGTAAATATTTAGAACTGAAGAAAGAGAAAACATGCATACTATTCAGTGATGAAAACCCTCCTTGGAAATGTACCCACATGTAGAGTGAGAGATACAAAGATGTTTCAAAATAATATTTTGTTAAAGCAACATGCTTTATAAAAATCATTTTAGCCAGTCTTATAGACAAACAAAACTACATGCACAAAGTAATTTGGATCCACTTTGAATTATCTGTGAGAAATTAGTAGGCAAAGATAGTCCAATTTCAGTAAATATTTATGGAGCAAAACAATCCAAAATATATATAACAATCAAATTTCTAGTGAAAATGTGTGTAAGTAGGTTTATTTTGAAAGGAAAAGTCTTACTCCCAGTGTCATAACCAATTAAATTCTCCAGGTAATGGCCCCATTTGCATAGTGAGCGGAGCCCACAAGTGGGAATTTTAATGGGCACACCACCTGAGTACAGTAATCGAGAGTGACACGACTTGAACTAGTTTTGTGCTTACCCCACTGAAAATTCTACTCATATTATTTTTAATGTCAAGCTACAAGTCAAATTTCAAGATGATGGATTTGTTCTTTTTTAAGCACTGAGTTTGAATAAAAGAAATGCTTTAATTCTGTTATGCATTGCATATCTTTGCTTTAACTAATCTGCAGTTCTGATTCTCACCATTGCTCCATTTTCTTCAGTGATTGGAATTTAATTTTATTCATTAATTTGTGAATAATTAGATAAAAAAAAATGACATCCTCAGCAGCCAAATTGCTTTAGGATTGCCATTTAATGTACTTTTTACCAGAATATGTATTATCGTTAAGCTGGCATAATAGTTTACTAAAAATGTAATTGTATAAATATGCCCAATTATTCTTTCTGATGATCTAACAAAGTCTAATATGTATTCATGGGCATTTCCCTCCTCCTTCACCTCAACACCAATAAAACGTAGTTCCTGCAGAGCTGATCACAGATGCCTTGTCATCTGAAGGTGTTACTTTTAAAAGATATTCTCCTTCTCTCTCAGGCACTATTCATGTCCTTGAAAGAATTGTGCATTCTGATTGAGGGATCATATGAGGTCCACATTAAATTATATAATAAAGGTGATCTTGAGACTCTGAGAGTCAGACCCACATGATGAACTGTGCTATCCAGGTTTTGAGATGACATTTTAAAACTTCTTTTGTTTCACTCGAAGATTGCTTGAGATCCTAACTATTTGTAGGTGTTTGACACCACTCCGTCACATCTGTAATTGGCATAGCATCCAGCAGACAGGCTCTGTACATCTTTACACTGCAACCTACCAAGTTAAGAATGTATTGGTTCAATATAAAACAGCAGGCTGTTTTTAGACATAGTTACTAGTGCACAAGCTTTAATATGGCCTGGCTTCATCCTATAATGAGATCTTTTGGTTCCCTGCTCAACGGGCTTTTATTCCTTTGCAAAAGGCTATGAACTATGTCAAGTGGATCAGCTGCTTTTGTACACCCTCTTTCTTGGCTTTGGAATGTAATTCCTTTGCTTCTACCCCTTTATGCATCAGACAGAACTTAAGAACCTTTTCAGTTTTTCAAGCTAAACTGAGAATTTGTGTGAATTTGCTTTTCACTGTTTTCCTAATAATTACATTCTCCACTGAACCTCAAAGAGCTGCCTGAAAGTGAACACTTAATTGCAGAGCTATACTTCGTCTTAAACAGATGTATCTATACCCTCTGTTGGTAATATGTTGAGGCATGGTTAGCTGAATTGATTTCTTCACAGTCACCTCACAAATAAATTTGAGATTCTCTTTTAGCAAGGGTGAAGGTGAGGAGGGATCAAGGGCATAAATAATGGACAAACAGAACTACAACTAGTGGCTGCAGTTCTGTGGGAAGGCAAGGAGCTACTCGTTTTGACATCTGGCTGCTTGCAGTGGTGGTGGTTTGGGTGTTGAGCTGTGTCTGACTCTCCTGGCAGCTCAGGGGTGGTTACTGCCCAGGTGGAGAATGTCGCCCAGCTGTGCCAGTGTGACGAAGAGTGAGATGGTGCAGGTTTCTGCTTGCCTAGACAGCCATTCTTTCTAGTTGAGGCTTTGATGTAGCTTTGCTTAGAATCCTGTTCACCTCCAGACTGCCTGTTGAACTTGATTAAAATTCGGTCATTTGGATGATACTCATTCACAGGTCCTTAGAGAGGTCAGTCAGTGTTCATTGGGAATTCTGCAATGTGCAAATACATGGCGGATTTAGTCGCCAGTGATGACTTTTGCGAAAACCACCCCTCCACGTTAGGTCTGCATCAACCCCTTCCATTTTAAACATAACCTCTAGAAGTAATCTGAAATGAACAAGTAAATATTCGTAGCCTCAGTAACAGTTTTCTCAAGGGAAGTGGCAAACTTCTCCCAAAGGTTGAAACATCCTGAGGGTTTTTTGATTTCCTTGAGGGACTTAAAGAAAACAGTCACATAAATTTATTGATTATACGGGACATAGAGATGAAGGGTTAAAAAGAATGCCTTGTAGTACCCAAGCCTCAATTTTAAAATATAAACAGTAAGTGTAGAATAAACCCTATCCCTATATTAACTGTCATTTAAAACAAAAATGGTATGCTTTTCTATATTAGTATTAAAATAAGAGAAAAATGGATATTATAGTGTCTGATGAAATTTTATCTTGCCTGTCAGATTAGATGTAATAAACCTACAGGCCTACAAATCACACATAATTGGAAAGGGCATAAAGGTCTTGAATAGTATGAAAAATAATCTTATTAATAAATAAACATTCATTAGATGGTTGGGTAAATCTAGGCATTGAAACTGGAATTCAAGAAGGCAAGCCACACAGACTCTGGACTCAAATCTTATTTATGTTAGGCAGTGACTTTGACGTTTATAACATTAGAATCTAGGGCACTGATAAGAGTTTGTATAGATGAAGAATGAAAAGTTATTACATAAGGTTGCCTTGGTTACTCCGTGAACTGTTCAGAGAAACACTGGCTATTTCAGGTGAGGGAAATGGATATAGTCAATATACTATAAGAACACAAAAATAAAATTATTATACTCCTAAGTAAAATGTCTTCTCCTAAATAAAGTGATTCAAGGGATTAAATACTAATAACAAAACATTTCCTACTACTTACAAATTGTGCCACTAAAAACCCTAGTTGAAAGTACTTCTGATGATTTACTTTTGGGTGAAATTCATTAAAATTAATACCCAATTCCATAGATCTTTTGTGTTTAATTTCAGTTTACCACAGTTTTTTGATAAGTTGGGAAATAATTCCAAAGCAAATAAGTAAAAGCAATTTACTAAAAAACAAATGTAAAAAATGTGAATTTTGCTCTACTGTGAAGTTTTAACAGAAAACCATGTTTTACCATGTTTTGAAATCATTTGTCAACTATGATTTGCAGTATAAACTGATCTGAAACTTTCATAGTTCACTTATGGGCATGAGTCATGTGATTTACATAGGAGACTAAGAAATCTTTCAGAGAAGGATGTAACAAGAAAAGAAAATCCTAAGCTTTTAAATTATAGTTGAATTCATTTAAATATTGATCCATCAATTAGATTAATCATTTTTTTTTATTTTAAAATAGTATATTCAGGATAATACAGGTCCAGTTTAAAAATATTTAAGATTACGTTTCCACATTTAAAGAGAGACCAAATCTGTAACTGTAAACTAGAGCACTTATGATGTCCATATAATTCAACAAAATATTTTACATACAGAAATTCTAAAATACATATTGAAAATATTTTCACATTTGCTACTTTTGTTTTTTTCATTTATTTAAAAAAAATCATACAAGGTACTTTGTGGTATGACTGCAGAATAGACAATAGAGGAAAAGTACTATGAATATAAATATGAGATTAAAATTCTATCAATTAATGCTCTCTGTTACAGAGAAACATTATTTTAAAAGTGCTAATATCATCCTTGTAAATAGCAGGATACACTTAAATATTAGACAAATGGTTTGGCATATAATTTTTGCAGTATAACAGATATACTATTTTAATGATTCCAGGTCATTAGAAGGTTTTATATATCAATATAAAGTTGATACTCTTACATCCTAATATATATACATGTTAACTTTGGATATATGTAAATTATTCAGATTCTGGTTACTAAGAAATAGTAGAAAGAGGTTCTTATATTTCATTTGTTACATCAAAAATGCTCTTTAGGCCAGGAAGAGATAGACAGCTGTTGACTAGAGTTCTATTTAAGCCTGACAATTTAAGTGTGTGTGTGTGTGTGTGTGTGTGTGTGTGTGTGTAAAGAGCACTAAAAGGGGGATTCAAGAGTTTGCTATTTTTTTTTTTTCTTTTTTAAGCCTCTTAAGTAATGATATAAGTGGAAACTAGGTTTCATTTCAAAGGACAAATTCTTGGTGACATACCCATGCTTTAGGTTTTAAAATCTTAAAAGCCTACATTTGCTAAAAGGCTTCCTAAAAATATGCATTTGTTTTTACTATCAATTTGATATTCAATTGGAATAATAAAAACTAACTATTCATCCAAAGATATACTTTCAAAATTTCTACAAGGTATTACATTAAATCAAACCAAACTACAAGTTGGGGACATCAAGCTTAGCAGAAGAGCATGTAGAAGGAAAATTTACTCTTCATCGGTACCACACAGAGTCTCTATGTCTTAGTAACTTACTAAGTCTTAACAAGTAACTTAATAAGTCTTACTTATTTCTTCACACTTAAGGATCTTTACAACCCACCATTTGGATTTAATGTAAAATCGCAATACTGAAATTTGGTCATAGTAATGGATGTCAAGATGGCCACTGCACTGGAAGGAATAATTTGTATTTAAGGTTAACTGTGCTTACAAATATTGGGGGGTTTGCTTCCTAACCAAATAACCCTTCCCCTTGCAAAATACTTAAAGCTCTCAAAAGAAAAGCATTTGAATAAATCAAAATCAAAATGCTGAGATTTTAATATAAAAATTTTCCTAATTTAAGTGTAACTTTTCAAAAGTGCTCCACATTCTTGATAAAATATAGGTATTTTAATAAAGCATTGTTTTTATCAAAACTTTATCATAACCTCTAAATTATGTAAAAAAAAATGTTTATTTTTAGTTAATTTAAATTTTATATTTTTTAAAGAAAGATGTATTGCCACAACTAAAGAAAATACATACATGAGGCATTTTTCTTGTAACTGCTCAAGGGCACAGTCAGCTCAGGTTGGTCACCTAAAACTTGGTCCTAAGCTAATCCATTCAAGCAGCAGATGAATCACTCATCCCAAGAGGCCTCCTTCAAAGGCCACATTCTCCTGGCAGCCCTCTGAATATTCCCATAGACATTAGCTCTTCCTTTCTGTGTGTATCCCTACAGCCTGTTGAGTTTCTCTTTCATAATCATGGCTTCAATATGCCTGTGGGCCGGCTTATTCTTCCCAGGTCACACGCAGCAGGCGCCCGGCGTCCGCTGAACCAGCAGAGCGTGGACGCGGACGTGAGGTGCCCAGCGCTGGTGTGGGCGTGTTCCCCAAAGTCTCCGCTAAGGAATCTTACTGTAACCACTGAAAAAACATTAACAATGAGTCGTCTGATTTAAATAACCACCAACAAAGAATACATTTGGAGCAAGGGGCTCCTAAGACTCGTTAAAAGAAACAGAGAGAGATAAGTATAAAAAGGAGGAGACATTTTGGGGTTTTTTTCTTCTTTTTTCTCTGTTTTTGGCCAAAATGTCCCTCAGTCACTGCAACCTATTAACAAGTGTAAAAGTAGTTAAAATTTCACATATTAAACCATGTGGATTTGGTTAGAGGGAGAGAAAAAGGCTTTCAGAGATTACCTAAAATAATGAGTTAACAGTGCAAGTACTGGGTTGTTTGATGAGAATTTTACCACGTGCTTTTCTTTTCCCTCAAAAGAAAAAACTTAAAATACTCTCCAGTTTTAACGCAAACAGAAGATAAATATTTATGAAGGAAAACAAATTCCACAGCACTCCATACAGATTTCCAGGCAGTCTGATGATTCACAACAGGCATCCATGATGCCACAATCCATGTCACAGGGGCAGTTACAGTCATCTCCCATTTCATCTCCACAGCAACAGCAGCAGGCTTCTGAGGTGCAGATGCCACACGAAGCTTGTCCCAGGACAATATTGCAGAGGGTCAGGAATTCACAGAACAGGCAGGCCAGGATACAGTGGACACAGCAGTCTTCATTTTCAGTTGGGAGGAGACCACACAGTCAGAGAAAGAAGGAACACAAAATATATGAATCATTAGTAAGCTGAATAATACTTGATAAAAGTAAGTAATCCAGAACCTAAAGACCTGCAGTCCTAGAAGTCTTCTGTGGGTTGGAAGGACGAAAAGAAACAGGTTAAATTTAAATGAACAATCTTTAGAAGCAGATACTGCATTTGGTGGGGAGGGAAAGACTGTAGTTGTGTATACATGTGTGTGTGCTTATGGGTTAGAGTATTACTCACTATGCACTGGTCCTTGGTTCTAGGTTCCACACCTCTATGCTTCTCATCCCTCTTCCCTATATCCTACTGCTCTCTGCTAAATGGCATTAAAGTCTTTCAGAAAACAGAAAGTTACTGCAATGTCCCCACCTGCTCTAAAACTGCAAGGAAAAAAATTTAAAAATGATACATTCAGTATGTTATTGAATAATTAATTTAACAGCTAAATTGGAATCCATTAAACTGGGATCAGCATATTTTATTTCTCAATAAAACTGGCTCAATTTTATGGTCCCTGATTTTTTTGGTTTCACACGAATTAAAAACAGACCCTAGCCCCAACCATTGTTTCTGGGATAGTTCTGCCTATCTCTAACAAAGGATACGTACCTTAGCAAATGTGAATAATGACACAGTAACACTGCTTTCCCACTTCCCGTGCATGAAGTACTTTACTGAGACATCTCTAATGATGCCTTTTTGAACAACAAATGTCATGAACTGATATAAAGAAGTGAGAAATCAACAGATTACAACCTAATAAATTTAGTACACCATATTCTAAGCTTCTTTTCTCAGAATTTTTAGTCAAGTAAAAGGAGCAACTGAAGAAAATGTCTATTTCTGGAAGACTTTAATACATGCAATAAAATAATTTAAGACCAATGTTATAAGACATTTGTCTTATTTCAGAAATATTTATGAATTTTTAGCAGGACTATTTATAGGTGTGTGTTTGTGTTCCTTTCCTTCTTTAAAAATTTCATATGATGCAAGCTTTAATGAGGGGATTCTGCTTCCAAGAACAGCAACAGACAGTATAGAACAATCCCCTATCTATATCCCACTGTGACATGACTTATGTGTTTCTGTATTTGGCTTTAAGATTGGGTGCCTTTGATGGAGTTTCATCAACTGTGTATTCCATCATGACCACCCCCCCCCACCTTTGACTATTCCCCTGTTTCTCTATAGTCTCTAACTTAGTAGCGTCTATAAATTTGTAAAAGGGGGAAATGTGGGAAATACACACTTTACATGCCAGATGGCAAAAAGGGAGGAGGGTCAGGAAAAACTCAAAAAGGAAACTCCAGAGTTGTTTGTAGGATTAAAGGCTAGCAGTTCCCTGGTAACCTAGTGGTTAGGATCCTTGGCTTTAACTGCCACGGTCCAGGCTCAATCCCTGGTCAGGGAGCTGAGATCGTGCAAGCTGCCTGGTTCAGCCAGAGGGGGGAAAAAGAGGCTAAAAAAACACATTGGTGTTTCCTTCCATCCTTCTCAGGGCTGAGCCCACTCTCATATAAAATGGTCTATGGAGCAACCGGAAAAGGATCATAGAATTCTAAGTCTGTGAGTTTCTGTCTTCCTCTAATGTTTTTAGTAGTACAGTAGTCCTCCACATTCCAAGACCCCCAGTGGATGCCTGAAATCACGGATAGTGCTGAACTCTATATATTACTGTTTTCCCCTCATGCATACACTTATGATGAAGTCTCATTTATAAACTGGACAAAGAGATTAACAATAACTACTAATAAAATATAGTTATAACAATTTTCTATAATAAAAGTTAGGTGAATGTAGTCTCTCTTGAAATATACAAATTTAATGCCTTTTCCATCTTAACTACACACTTATTATATACTATGGCCATAACTTTTATAGTTTGAGGTGAAATAACAAAATTATCATGAATTTCTTTTCTGTTCTTCACAATTTCACGGATAGAAGATTGATTCTTACTGTAGACTTTAACAACCTCAGTATATAGTTTTGTGTGTGTGTGTGTGTGTGTGTGTGTGTGTGTGTGTATGTGTGTCTGTGTCTTTCCTTATTAAGTTGAGAACTTTCATCTATTCACTCAAAGAAGTGCTTTCCAGCTTCTCTGTGGCATATCTGAGTTGCCAGGATCAGTACTCTTGCACTTTGGAGCTGTCATTATGTAAAATCAAAGTTACTTGAACACAAGCATGGTGATATTAAGACAGGTGGTCTGAAATCAAGAGGGTTGCTACATATGAACAGGTGGAACACACTAGACAAATGGATGATTCATGTTTTGGGTGGGGTGGAGAGGATGGCATGAGATTTCGTCATGCTGCATGCAATTTAAAACTTATGAATTGTCTATTTCTAGAGTCTTCTATTGAATATTTTGGTACTGTGAGTAAATGAAACCACAGAAAACAAAACCATACGTAAGGGGGGACTATGGTATCCAATCACAGCAGGAGAGCAGCGAAATCAACTCCATGGATCCAAGTCCATAGCCTTGGGAAGTCCTGGGTTTCTAGAGAGCCTCTACTTTCCCTCTTTCTACATTCCTTCTATAAGCTTTTATCCTGATATCTTATATGTCTCAGTTCAATAGAGTTTATCTAGGATTATGTTATCATCATGATTTGTAAAATATCTGAAACATTATAAACAGCTGACTTTATTATTATTCCTATTAAGAAATTAGTGTTTAACTGGCAAGCAAGTCAGTTCTATTCAATATGTCTTCAAACAAATACCCATATTAACTAATTCTAAGGACACTTCCAACCTTAACTTGTATTCCGCTATGGAATGGCATGTATTTCAAGACTAAGAGGGGAATCCGTAAGAACTACTTGATACTGAAGAACCTTAAGCACAGTTATTGAACATTAGATTATTTATGGATTAATCATGAAATATATCATACATTGAAGTATATGTAGTGAACTTATCTTGAAGGGGAAAGAATGGCCTTCCCACCAGCTATCAGAAAGGAAATGATACCACATAAATTCCTGTAAGTAACATTTTTCTCAATATTATATGTTTCAGATATACCTTTCTTGATTCTTGCAGTTAAAGTTCACTTGTTTTACATTATACTTATCCATCCTATTTAGGAGTATTCTGGTCATTTCCAGTGTTTTGCTCTTCCAAACATTAATGCTTGAAACAGGTTTGTGCAAGTCTCCTAGAGCCAACTTGCTAAATAACTGACAATAGAATTGCTGGGCTCTAGGATGCACATATATTTAATCAAGTTAGGTAATACTGCATTTGTTTCTAAAGTGACTGCTCCAAAATATATTCCCACAACCAAGTATGAGAATGCTCATTGCTCCACATCCTCACTTTGAAACTGTCATATTTTCATATATGCCAATTTGTTGCATGTTCGTGGCATCTCATGGTGGTTTTCTTTGCATTTACTTGTTTACTAATAAATTTGAACATCTTTTCATGCTTTCGGCCATTCATGTTTCCTCTTCTTTGAAACAGGTGTCATGTATTTCCCTACTTTTCTATTGAATTGCCTGTTTTTCTTATTGACTTGTAGAAGTTTTTCATGTAGTGAAGACATTCATCCATCAGTCCTTTGTCAAATATGATTGTCCTCTCTCAGCACTGACTTTTTGAAGTTAAGAGATAAGATGCACATGAGTTTATGTTTAGACTGAGAGTTTGAAGTGATGAAGAGAAACTCAGTCAAATCTTTTCTTTAGCTGGAGATACTAGATGGAGATATCAGATAGACTAAGGAAGTAAAGTGGAAGACTGACAAGTTTGGCTAATGAGTAAGTGAAAAGAAGAGGAGTTATTAACAAATTTGGTGGTAGAATAAAATAAAAAAGTTTTAGTGTCTTATTCAGAATAAGGGAGTCCAGCCATTCTGATATACAGAACAGGATGGGAAACCAATAGTAGACAGGAAGGAGTGACTGAATGTGAATGATATGAAATCAGCTGCCCTCAAGATGAAGAGAAATGAGGGTTACAGTCACAGCTAAACCATTCATAGCTGCTCAGAGAACATATTCATTTGAGAATTAAAATCTGTTCCAGATCTTAGACAGTAGTGACAGTTGTTATACAAAAATCAGAAGCCCTAAGCCAAGAACAGATTCTCTCCAAATTTCCATTGGTAGCTAACAAGGTCTACAAAGAATTTAATTCTATTAAACTTTGTATTTTTAGTAAACAAAGAACATGAAAAAATAAATTCTTAGTGCTAAATAGATCAAACACTCCTTGATTGTGTTCAATAACATATTTCTATAACGGATACCAATGGTGGTTTTATGTAGAAGAAGCCTGGCATTAATGAAGAAAAAGCATTTATTAATTAAAAAATGTGTTATCTTAGAAGAGATATTTTTACCACTCTTGTACTTTATTTATGAAACTTAGTAATAAATTCTATTTTAAGCTCTTTACAAATATTAATTCATTTGATTCAAATAACATCTCTAAGAAGCAGTAATGGTATTATCCCCATTTTACCACAGATAGATTTTATAGAAAACTTAGGAGGTCTGCTCAAAGTCACAAAGGCAGGAAGTAGCAGAGCCAGGATTGGAGCCCACATGATCCCCCTTTATCACCCATGGTCTAATCCAGCAGCCTATGCTGCTGGTGTGGGAATGACTACTTTTAACATTTCGTACATCTTCCTGGAGGAGGTCAGTTATAAATAACTAATTTCTGATGATTTGTCTTGCTGATCTTTTTTCAGCTTTGATTCATGCTTTCTTTCTAAAGATGAATCTGAATTTTAGTTTTAATGAAGACTTGATAGTAAATGTTATCCTCAAGAAAGAGCAAAGTTGATGACTTGGAGAACTCATAAATTTCCAGACACATTGGTGAAACAGACAAAAGAGGGTAGGCAGCCAAGACAGAGATGGTGTCTCAATTAAAAGTAATCTAAATTTAAAACTTAAAAATTAAGGTATGAACAGGAGCAATGTAGAGAGTAAATAGGAACTCTACTGGTAGAGTATACGGTTATGACAGACTTTTTAAAAATAAGCTTTTTTGGTAAACATTAAAACTTAAAAAATACTTTAAAAAAAAACT